AAGACTGCTGTACAGTGCTAACGAGATTCCATATTGGATTCTCAGCGTAATGTGTCGTGTCAAGTGTCGAACTGATAGCATTCAGCTGTATATCATTCGTAGTGTATCCCCATGGAAACAAAAGAATATCACAGGTTTGTTGGTCAAATGGGTAATAAGTCACGTCAGCATCACATAAAGAACACAGCTTTACAGGAATAGCCCAATTTACTACCCCTGCATATGTTAAAGCAATGTGCATATCGCCGTTCCCAAGTAAGTCAATATCGTCACAACCGTTGGCAAGGACGAATGGTGGCGTCCAAATTTCTTTCTGTTTAAAATGAGTAATGGTTAAATTGTTGTAATTTGTCGGGATCCACTCCAATCGCTCATCATACCAAGATACCGATACAATTCCAGTAATGATAAATGCGCTGCTCAGTTCCTCAAATGTTTGGATTTTTTTTAACCCGAAGCTGACATTCATGTTAAGAAGTTGTGCCAAATAGTTGTGTCCTGGGTGCACGCTGGGGTTATATCCACCAAGAAGGGCGGCGTTTAGCACTGTTTTGTCTGTTGAATTTCCACACATCACCCCAATACAGGCACTGTTTAACAGTGTTAGTATTAGTGAGATAAAACCGCCACAGGAAACACCAAAATGTGCCATCTTGACAAGAACCTACTGCGTTGTTAAAGTAGTCACAGCCGGGTCAGGGTGGACATTTTGTATAGAGCCTCTGTCCAGCTTGATGTTCACAGCGTATCTGTCGTACGTCCCGCAACACTCTGCTAAATGGAAGGTATAATTGGTGATGTCCCATAAATACCCGGTGTTAAAGGTAATGTCTGTGTTCAATTAACTGTTCAAATAGATGTATATTTATTGTTTCAACTGCATATTTGTCCGTAATTCTTCATATTAGTATCGATTTTTTTCTACTGTATATATTTGAAAAGAATCATATCAGAAGATATTGATTTCAGAAGTGTCATTAAAGGGTGTTTGTTATATACGTGAACGAAATAATGGAATGACGTGTTCCTAGCATCGTACTTTTTAATGGACTGTTCGACACTGTATAGATTTTGAGAATCATTTGTTGACTTATTGTTATTAGCTAATGGGTTTTATTTCCATGGGAATTAAGTCTAAATTGTTCTCTTTTGGCTAATGACAATGCTCAGGTCAACTTCAAATTTGACTGATATCCGTTCATATTTGGAGTTGCTTCTCCAAAAAGTGTCGGATTTCGAACTTTCATTATTGGAAAGACACACTTAGTCCAAAACCGATCCGAATTCGGGCGTATTTTATTGGGTTGTATGTGCTTCGTTCGTAGCGATATTGTTAGCGCATTATATATACGAATGTATCTAAATATAGACGTCATAGAACTTTGTGTTTTTTGATCATGACAATATTGAGGAAAGTACAAAACTGAGTAGAATCCATGCACGTTAGATTCGGATACAGACAACGACAATATCGTTGTGTATTTATGGTAAACGGTTATACCACCCCGTTGTAAACTGGCAAGAAATAGTAAAATGGATGATATTGCCAGCAATGTCAAAACTAATGTTGAATTTGTTTTCTGTGTGTTGACGCTGAAGTTCATTTTGCTCTTGTAGTGTTGACGCTGAAGAACATTTTGTCCTGGTGTGTCGACGCTGTATATTTTGCTTGTCTTTCCTTGTTTGCTGACGCAAAGATATGGATATGAGCTGTACTTGTGTGATGACGCTGTAGTAAATATTTATTTTACATACATTATTTTATTGTGTATCTATTTTTTGACGGGCATCTCTCTTGATGATTCACTTTTCAAAATACATGTAAATGTTCTCTCATTTTCTGATCTTGTTAAAGTTCCTGTGAAAAATGCATGAGTAGAACAGCAGTAAAACCACGATAGTCTATGTTTATACCCGATTCTAGTTGTAAACATTTACATTTTTAACAATTTTAAACTTCTGCCCCACCTCCCTATGGATAAAATGGAGCAGGAAACATGGCGTATTGCAGGGTCACTGCAGATCCAGCCGGTGATACGGTCACGCAACCGATTTTGTTACTCCATATTCTTCAGCTTTGCCAAGGAAAGACTTTCTACAGGCTGAGGAGTCAGAGCCCTTTGCAAGTTTTTCCTCTTGCCAAGATTTTATTTATACTATTTGAACACAAGACATTATGCTGTCAAGGCAACTCCTAAAATATATACAAAAGCAAAGTTTATCTTTATTATCTTTTATTACATACGACTCCTAAAATAAATACAAAGCAAGGTTTTAATACCAAACAAATACTTTTTTCTTTTTGTTATCCTTTACCTTTTATTGTTTTAAGTAGACATACACCAGCAGTTACTTTGACTATGATGAGTTTGCAATAAATGTGTATGTAACTATATGTTCGCCATTTTATCTGTGTTATCTTTTATTACATACAGCTACTACAGTTAATACCAAACAAATATTTTTTTCGTTTTGTTATCCTTTACCTTTTATTGTTTTAAGTAGACATACAGCAGCAGTTACTTTGACTATGATGAGTTTGCAATAAATGTGTATGTAACTATATGTTCGCTATTGCATGTTGGTTGGTAATAATATTTATATAACTTGAGTGTTTTACGACACGAGGTTTACGTAGCAGAAACGATTTTAAACTACTAGTATAAAGCAAAAAAAAAAAACCCTCTCTCTTTCGGCCTGATCTGGACATTACGACTTTCCCAATAAGCAATATACTACGATATGTAATTATGTTTCAGCAGCGTGTGTTACTATGACAGTATATTTCACATATGTGTTGTAATGATTGTAGTTATATAATTAATTCCTCAATTGAAAAGCAGTATAGCTTTATATATGTATACAATATATCTTTATAATGTATGTGTTTTGCATTATATCTCTTATATTTGTAACGTATTATCCATGTTGTACATACTTGTATATATGTTATCGGCCATGTGTGAAAAGAGTCTGTGACTCAACATGTTATTATCGAGTATAAGTAAAGTCTATTATTATTATTATTTATTATTATTATTATCATGATACATCTATCACCAATTGTTAGACCCTCATCTCTCATGACATTTCTTTTGGATAAAGAAATCCAGAATTCTATTGGGGAACAAATTATTACTGCTGCTGACTGTGGAAACAATTACCATGAATCGTTACACATTTAAAGAGGACGATGCAAAACAGTGAGATAGAAGCTAGTGACAAATCAAACACATGTAAGTAACTACAGCGAAAACTTGTACATTCCGACCATCGAATATTCCGACCTCCTAGAATATCCGATTTACAACAGCACTTCATTGGATCATATTCATTATGCTCACGTTGTGGTCTGAAAATTTTAAGGTGGTCTACATGCACAGAGAAGCGGAATTAACAGGCCTCATCTCTTTTACATGGTGATACAGTCGAATTACAAAACAAACTGTTGATTAAGTAAATTAGAATGACACACAATTTACTAACCGTAATTCATAGTTATGATTAGGTTTGTCAACGGTTAGCCGATTAACCGGTTACTCGGTCGGAAGACCACGAGCCGGTTACCAAAATCAATCAAATCAAAATCAACTATTTTCTGTGATTAGCTTAAAATATATCAACATGTATGTTTGTGGTGTGAACAGGTTTTAATAGCAGATTTGCTAAGCATATAGCGTAATGTCATTGTAAATTGTTTGATTACCAAATTGACCGATTAACCGGTTACTCGATCGGAAGATTGTTTTAGTAACAGGTTTCCAAACTATGACCGGTTTGACAACCTTAGTTATGATTGCCAATTTTGTACATCACCACATTTACAAATGAAACGGAAAAATAAAATAAAAGTCTAATATTAACTTGGAACTAAAGCAGTGTCCAAGTATACTGCAGACCAGCAAGGTCTACTTGCTACCTATCGTTTATATGTGACCATCAGTGGTCAAGTATCAATGTCATGTCCGAATGCATTGAGGTCTCGTTCTTTTTTGTATCAGATAGAACCGCTCGATTCGATCTTTTATTAGGATTTTCCGTTGGTAGTCCAGGCGTGAGAGGCACGGTTATCTCGACAGCAAGTCTTGCGAGATAGGCGAGTTGGTTACAGACTATTTGACAGATTTCCGTCGGAGGCCGGCCGTATTGATCGATGCATAAAGTAAGAGTTTGAGTTTTTCATTTTCATTTTCAAGGGATTGAACACGATTAGCCAATTGACCAATTTGATTTTGGACCATAATGTATATATCGTCTTGTCATATTGCCCATGGTACCGGACTGTATCAGTTGCGGAGGGGCCCCTGAGATGAGAGTGTGTTCATTATAAGTTGCTGCTAAATCTGGTTTCGAAAGAGCGTTGATTGGCAAAGAACTGCTGACTGTCATAGTTGGAGATTATAGCAGATGGGGATAAACTGATATCACTCTCACTAGGAAAATCTGCTTATTTTGAATATTTAATGATTCTTGTTAATTATGGGTTGGGGTTATGGTGTTTCAGACCTCGTTCTCTGCATTGATCGAGAGCGGATGTATATTGCCCGAACATGTTTACACATAAACACTCCTGTGAAATGTGTATATACACAGATTTAACGCATGGATGATGACATGAACACAACGATTTTGACGTGAATATCCCATATAATTGACTTTTCATAATCACATATTTCTGTAAAATGCAAAAACAGTTCGCACTTAGCTTTTGCATCGTATCCCTCTGCCTCTATAAACATCATCCGTGGTCCATCTACAGGGACTTTCCCTCATTTCTATCAGAGGTGCGTGAATGCCGTTTATTCTGTAATCTATTGTTTCTTGTATTTCTTGTTATGAATAATGTCTTGACGTCGTACAAGAAGCGACTGCATATTCATTTGCAGTGAACAGCTATTGGTATATATTTGATATAGTCCAAGTATTGGGATGTAAATACTTCTGTTAAAGAATTATTTCTTTGGGATTCTGATGACTTGTAAACACGTTACCAATGGTTACTAACCCGATATTACAGCCAGAACGACAACGTTACATAGTAAGGCAGTCACCAGGAAGAACACGAAACAGACACTGTCGAAGGCATGACCAACATGTTTCCAGGATACTTCAGTGTCAGGTGTGACACGTTTGCCGTCATCAATGCCATCCTCATCCTTCTTTGTTATTACAGAGACAGTGCTTTGAGATGTGGGAGACACATTCGATGTGTTCGGCTTTGTTACATTGTTAACGTATCGTGTCATTTTTGCTATCCATCTCGGCACACGCTGCTCCTCTGATCGTAAGTAAAACCGGAGTCCAAATATTGTGCAGACCATTATCATTACACTCAATATGACATGAGCAATCAGCATGTAGCAGAGTAGGGCCATTTGTGGAGTGGAGGTCTGGGGGAGAAAACTGGACACGATGGACAGGAAAACAGCTATGGAGAGTAACACTGTAACAGAAAAGCCAACACGCTCGCCGGAATCCGCCGGCAGGAGGAACACCAACATGTTGATGAAGCACATTAAAATGGTCGGCAGTATAAAATTCACCACGAAAAATAAGGGTTTCCTTTTAAATGTGATTGCCATTTGGAAACCAAGAGTTGGAGTTTGAAAAGACTGCTGTACAGTGCTAACGAGATTCCATATTGGATTCTCTGCGTATTGTGTCGTGTCAAGTGTCGAACTGATAGCATTCAGCTGGATTTGATTATTAGAGTATCCCCATGGCAACAGAATCAAATCACAGGTTTGTTGGTCAAATGGGTAATACGTCACGTCAGCATCACATGAAGATGACAGCTTTACAGGAATAGCCAAATTAACTACCCCTGCATAAGTTAAAGCAATGTGCATATTATCATTTCCAAGTAAGTCAATACCGTCATAACTGTTGCTGAGGACAAATGGCGGAGTCCAAATTTCTTTCTGTTTAAAATGAGTAATAGTTAAGTTGTTGTAATTAGTGGTGATCCACTCCAATCGCTCGTCATACCAAGTTATCGACAAAACTCCGGTAATGGTAAATGCGCTTGTCAATTCCTCAAATGTTTGGATTTTCCTTAACGTGAAGCTGACATTCATTTTAAGAAGTTGTGCTGAATAGTGGTGTCCTGGGTGCACGCTGGGGTTATATCCATCAAGAAGGGCGACGTTCAGCACTGTCTTGTCTGTAGAATTATCACACATCACACCAATACAGACACAGTTTAACAGTGCGATTATTAGTGATCTACAACCGCCACAGGAAACATCAAAATGTGCCATCTTGACCAGAACCTACCGCGTTGGTAATGTAGTCACAGTCGGGTCTGGGTGGACTTTTTGTATAAAGCCTCTGTCCAGTTTGATGTCCACAGCGTTTCTGTCGTCCGTCCCGCAACACTGGGCTAAGTGGATGATACAATCGATATTGTTCCATAGATACCCGCTGTTAAAGTTCATGCAATTCAATTCATATTAAACGCCATGCCTATATATATTGATCTAACTGCTTTGTGTATTTACAAATGTTTGTCTATGATTGTTCTTATTAGTACAGATCTTTTCTGGTGTATCTTGCTTTTTAGATATTTGAAAAGGGAATCATCTCAGAAGATATTGAATTCAGAAGTGGCATTAGAGGTAATTGGTTATGTACATAAAAAAAATGGAATGATGTGTACCTAGCATCGTACTTGTAATGGACTGCTCGACACTGTATGGATTTCGAGAATGGGATGATAATGAGAATTATTAGCTAATGGGTTTTATTTCCATTTCACTTTGAAAACGTACTTGAGCATAAACAAGAAAAATATAAATCAATAAGAGTAGTGTTTGTCCGGTAAATAAGATTGTTAGAAATTCATTAAATATATAGAACATTACCAAGGGCGACTAGAATAATATTTGACGTAAAACAAAATAACAGTTAAGTTTTGTTTACTGTTTAATTATCTGATTATGATTTTATAGACTACATCCGTCATACCATATTGACTTATTAATCTGTTTTTTGTCCTCCGTTTTTTCAGTTCGTCCGTCTGCTTGTTACACGCTGCTCTGCGGATAAAAGCATTCTCTAATAAAACTGAAATCAGCCTAATTTATTCTTTACTTGCTTAATGACAATGATCAGGTCAACTTTAATTTTCAAAGGTATACGTCTTTTGTGATTAGGTTAAGAGTATTCCGTCGCTTCTGATTGTTTGATGCATTTTGAAGAGTGGCTTCTCCAAATAGTGACGGATTTCAAACATGGCATGTGCTTGCATGATTTGAAAGACAACATTAAGACCAAAACCGATCCGAATCCGTGCATATTTGATTAGGTTGTATGTTTGCATAATGGTAATACTGAAAAGAGTCCAAAATTGAGTAGAATCCATACACGTTAGATTTGGTAACAGACACATTCTTCACTCTGATTGGTTGTCATTTTTACGATAATATCGTTGTCTATGTATAGTAAACGCTTATACCATCTCGTTGTCAACTTGCAACGAGGTTGGTTTTAAAATCAAACATCTAGCGAGAAATAGTATAATGGATGATATTGCCAGAACATCAACATATTTGTTGAATTTAGCGGGAGAAATACAACGGCCGACATCATGACCTGATTTGAACGAATTGTTTAGTGGTATTTTAAGTTATTGGTGACCAATCAGTTTGACATGAGTCTCCATAATGACTACCGAAAGAAATGCCTGAAACGCTTACCTTCTGTGATCTATTTCATAGTACATCGGTTTTCGTTCGTTTTAAAGATGATTCCACTTCGGTGTATTTCTTTCTCATGTCGACTAGGCCTTGTGTATTTGTATTGTCGGGTTGTTTGGGATGTGGTATACTTTGTGCTTATGTGTTGCAAAGGTTGTTATATTTTGTCATTATGGGCTGACGATGTAGTATAAATATTCTGGTGTTTTAACGCCATGCTTTGTTTTATCATTGTGAGTTTATGCATAGGTACATTCTGCTCTTGTGTGTTGACACTAAGGTAAATTTTGCTCTTGTGTGTTGACGCTAAGGTAAAATTTGCTCTTGTGTGTTGACGCTAAGGTAAATTTTGCTCTTGTGTGTTGACGCTAAGGTAAATTCTGCTCTTGTGTGTTGACGCCGATGTACATTTGTTGTTATTATGTGTCGACGCTGTAAATTTTGTTTGTCTTTCCTCGTTTGTTGACACAAAGGCATGTAGATGATTTGTCCTTGTATATTAACGACGTTGTGGTATATTTTATTCATGTGTTTTGGCGCTGTGGTATATCTTGCCCCTGTCTGTTGACGTTTGTTCTTGCGTGTTTCTCTTTTACCTAACGTCGGAGGAAATGTCAAAAAATCGTATATTCATTTTAGTGCTTTGACGTTGTGGTATATTTTGTCATTGTAAATTGATGCTCTGGAATTGTTTGCCATTTTGTTTTGAAGCTGTTCTATGCGTGCTCCTCGCGTATTGACGCTGTGACGTATTTTACCTTTTTTGTGTTGACAGTATGATGTGTGATAAAAAAAAAAAAAAAACTTACGACAGAGCAGTTGTCAATACTTTGTAAGCGCTCTGTCGTGCTGTAATTGTTTATCTTTAAAAGCAAAAGAGCAAAAATAAAATACGACAACAATACGAAAGGTTTCATTCAAATTCTCGCACGCAGATGACGTAGGTGAACACGTCTTTGTTACTTATATGTTGTTTTTAATTTGTCCACTGTTTTATTTACTTTTTAACGACAAGACAAACAATGCCCTACTGTTATGTAACAGAATATCTTTATATTGTTACAAAGAAATATCGTTAGACAGGATTTTAATATCAGACCATTCACAGCTTTACACGTATAGTAGTCGTTTCAGACCGCGGCACACATTCCAGATTTAACCACTAATGATGTAAGACAGCAAGTCAATAGTTTTACACACTCTAATGACACGTATGAAGATTTTGGATCACATTTAAGATTCTTTGTTTCACAATGTTACAGCGGTGAATAAAAGAGATAAACGATAGGAATTGTATCGAAATCGTTTGGTGGTTTTTGCCGAAAATCGTACTTGCCCGATTTGGAGCAATTATGATCAAGTCCTGGAACATCTCTCATGACGGGACCTGAATTACCGGCTACACGCTATTGTTTTATCGATATGTGTAATACGCACAAAGCTATATAATTTCTCTCTTTACCACTATGACACATCATCTCTCCTAATTTATAAATCTTATAAACATCACTTCCCACACTGAACAAAAACTCATCATACATAAACGTTGTGGTATATTTTGTCGTAGTTTTGGTGATGCCTTATGATGTTCCAATACGTTAGTTTTGTGATATGATTTTTCGTGGTAATTATGATATTGTTTGTTGGTCCTGTTTTTTTTTTTTTTTTTTTTTTTTTTAAATCTATCATATATATATTTTCCGTTTTGTTTATGTTCCGTTATGTGTTGCCTTTTTATGTTAATGCTGTGGTATATATGTGCTCTCGCTGAGTTATATGTTCTCCTTGAGTGCTCAAACTGTGGTATCCCTTGTCATCCTTACGAGTTCAGGCAGACGGGTATGTTGTCCTTGTGTTGACGCAGTTTTTTTTAATGATTTTGTGTTAATTATTTTGCTGCTTTGGTATCTTTGATGGCATATTTTTGTTTGTCTCACCAGAACAGTGTTCACGACGGCTATCTTAAATCATGAAACTAAAAAGGTCGGTAATTCAACAAAGGTGCACCCACCCCCTTAATGTCAATCCCTCCTAAAAGAATCCATTTTTTTTGGTACTTAAAACTGACGAGGCTACATACTTGATATGCAAGTGAAATAAGTTCCGTATGTTTGATAGTCACTGACAAGTAACTTGGGCGTTTACAGGTAATGTCCCTATAATTCCCTTTCCTGGAAAAAAAAAAAAATGCAATATTTTCCAATATTATCACATAGGGTTGCTCTGTTTAATATGATATATGTCCTACAAGTAAACTAAGCTGGCAGAAAACTATTCTAGTCGACTTCCTCAAAACAAATTCTGTTAAAACATCGACGAATGTGCAAAGGCGATACGTTTTACGCTGAAATCGAGGGTTTCAAAATTGTGCTATTTGTCGAGAGATAAAACATTTTTCTGAATACTACAACAATCAATACCCGATTGAGAAAATGTGCACTAGGCAATGCATTTTTGATATCAAGATATTGCAGAAGTGAAATTTGTGGAAGAAGTGATAAATGAAATCCGAGCTCGTGTAGATACCCTTGTAGTATGATGTTACCTTTGGCCGCGTTATGTCTGTTGAATTACAGTTATATGGTTTAATGAATAGAGGGAAAAATGCTCTCTTTGTATACCGACGTTCTCTTGGATACAGAAAATCAAGTTGGATTATATTTAAAAAAAAAATAAAAAAAAATACCTGTATCAACACAAAACGATGTAATGTAACCGGTATCGGCCTGGGCGTGTCATTTCTCATACATAGTACTGGACAGCTTTCGTTTTATCTCCTACTTATATTTTAAGTACATGTCTCAATGGAATGGACATCAGACTATCAATACATTGTTTAGAAACCTGACTGGCGAAGTTAATGACGACAATCATTAACATTAATACATTAATAGTTCAAATATGATTCTTTTAAAATAGAGATTTCAGGAAATCAATCAATGGCCGTAGCCATCAAGTAGGAATCGGCAAATAGGCAAAGCCATTACGACTAGGTGTCACTTTGGAATCATATAAAGACACCTTTTGTTGAGGTGGTAGTCCGTCTATGTACACCGATATGTTTATTTAGGTAGTCATTAGTAACCATCCTGAAACCGATGACTGATTAACATATTATAGCAATCACAAGTCATGTACATATAAACGAGCGATACTGTGGCCCTTGGTTTCTCCGAACCCTTAGCAATGGCGCGCCATCCATTTCTCCTTAGTTTTGTGGTTGTGTTGTGTAAAACAGCAAGTGCGGCGACTTATCGAGATTTACAAAGACTTGAAACAGATCTGATGCAAAACTATAGCAAGACGATCCGGCCTGCGTATGATCAGAATAATGCCACGGTAATTTATATAGATTTCAGTCTGATAACAATCCGGGAATATGAGGAGAAAACCAATAAATTCTCAGTTATTGGCTTCTTCAGGATGCGATGGTGGGATGATCAGTTAAGATGGGACCCCAAACAATACGATGGAGCAAGTTCTATTCTTTTTCCACAGGACACCGTATGGAAACCAGAGCTTTTGATGGTGAATCCCTACAATACGGTCAAACCCATTTCATTTGATCGCATGAACATCCGCGCAAAGCACGACGGAGAGATGTATTGGGACCCAGGGGACTTGATCTATTCCACTTGTAAAGCTGATATAACCTACTACCCATTTGATCAGCAAACATGTTATCTCCTCTTTTCGCCTTGGAATTACGCAAGCACAGAGGTTGATATCGTTAATGACAGGAAGGATCTCGATATCACTTTGTATTCACCGAACGGACTTTGGAATTTATTATCAACAAATACACATGTGGAACGCAATATTCCTTTATTTTACAACAAGACAGTTTACAATATCATCATCACGTTTGAACGCCGTTCCATGTTTCATTTGTTCAGCGTCATAATACCTATCAATTTGATAGGCTTTTTGTGTAATCTGGTCTTTCTGTTGCCAGCTGAGTCAGGTGAGCGAGTTGGATTTTCTATTACCGTATTACTAGCCATGACGGTTTTTTTGACGATTGTCTCTGACAGTTTACCACAAACGAGCGAACCAGACTTGCCAATAGTCTCCTATATGCTATTTGCAGAACTTGTGATATGTTTGCTGGTGACAATAAGCACCATTGTCGGACTACGTTTTCACCACAAACCCCCACACCAAGATGTACCCGTATGGGTTCAGCGCCTGACCTGCTCAAAATGGTGGTATAAACGTCAGTGTAGGAATACCAACAACGAAATAAAGTCCGTCCGGTCTGATACTTGTCATAGTGACAACCTTGATGTTGTGTACTGTGGACAGTCGTCTCCCCGTTCTCCCGACCTAGCTGTGGTTACATGTAAACCACGAGGATGTCAAGGGCAGTGTCGCCATAGTGACAAAGACAGCAGAGGGCAGTGTCGTCATAGTGACAAAGACAGCAGAGGGCAGTGTCGTCATAGTGACAAAGACAGAAGAGGGCAGTGTCGTCATAGTGACAAAGATAGAAGAGTACGAGACCTTCTTGCTCCACAAACTTATACAGAAGACGGGGAAACGGTTTCCATCATAGATGATGACAAAGCGACTGTAACATGGAAAGACATTGCTGTTTTTTCAGATTATTTCTTTTTTGTGATTTTTCTTCTAATGAGCGTTACAGCCATTGTCGGCACTGTAGTAAACTTTAGAAATAATAATACATTGTGATTGATTAATTCATTAAGATATGTTATTGGCTTATTAAATGTAAATCAACAGATGATGACTCCAAAACCACGAGAAATTATAACAACATATGACACTTTTAGAATTCGTGCTCAGAATCGTGATAACACACGAGAATGGATGTACAGTATTGCTTACCGTAAATTACTTTAATTTTTACACTTCTGTCTGCAGAATATCTGAAATAATCATTTGGTTGAAAACATATCTTCACTGCAGTTAGGTTATTCATTATATTTGTATCAGTGAGTTATATAATTCTATCATTTTGGTAAAACTCTTCTTTTTTTTTTACAAACTGTAACAGATCTAAACTTTAGTTATTGACTAATCGGTATGGTTTTTCCTTTTCAAAGCCGTAGATTGTCTTGTTAGATACAGGTGAAGCGACAGTAGAATAGGTGGTTGATCTGATATGTCTTTGCTACATCGTGATTTATCTTACTACACAATTTATATCATATTGTGAATTTTACAAGACATTAGCAGAAAATAGAAGGATTCAGGGGCGTTTTTAGGATATTTGAAAGAGGGGGCGTAGAATGGACCTTTTTTTTGCTAAAAAACATAAAATAATTGTGAAATGCACTAATGTAACGTAACGGTTCCTGACTTGGAGCATGTATATTTTATAGTTAAAGTGTCAAGGTGTTGATGTGTTTAATTAAATATGATAAATTGCCATATTCAATACAATATTAGCAGATTACGAAAGTTTTTTTGTTGATTTGTTTTTGAAACGCCCATTACGCCCTCACCTGGACCCGCCCCTGGGATTGTTCATAAATGTTCTAACTTCGTTAGACCAACCCCTGTTTCAAGTACTAAGTTAATTGTTCGACATGGGGATACCCGAACCTGGGTTGTAAATAGTATCGTTTTAGGGGAGGAAGACTTTGAAAAATGCCACCTCCAATGATCATATATACGATCAAATATAGCTGTTACAATTTCTCAGGTCCCTAAGCTCGCACGCGCCATTTTTTAACAACGTTTACAAGGAATTAGATTTTGAGTTCGAAATGCGTCTTTTGATGCTATTTGAACTTCAAAGTTAATCACCTCTAGACACAAAATGATGTTACAACTACGTAATTTATGCATACATTATTGTTATTACTTAACCGATGACCTAACTATTGATTTTATAAGTATTTAAAAAAAATATTGATCGAAAATTTAAGTAAAACATGAACAGTATTTTATACGTAACGTCATCTTTACACGTTGAGTGAACCGCGAAGCTATGTGTTCACGAATAGGTACTGGTTTAAGTCCGTGAAACAATGTGAGCCTGGAAATGTTTTTTTCGAACAAACGCTTTTTTAATCTGGTTACGTAAAGAAGTGAAATAACGTCAATGATGGCCAAACTAGGAGACTAAACGCATGTTCTGTCTTGTTTTTCCAAGTTTTGCACAATGCAAGAAATTGGCGAAGCTAGACCTATTGACATCCCTGGGCTCCATCATACCATGCTGCTCGCTGGGTAGCATATATATAAGGCTGTTCGAGATACAGATTAAAATTGTTAATGGTACATCAGGTCGGTGCTGTGTTTGTTTGTTTGTTTGTTTGTTTGATTTTGTTTAACGTCCTATTAACAGCTAAGGTCATTTAAGGACGGCCTCCCCTGTGTGCAAGATGCATGCGGGTAGTGTATGTGTGTGTATTTTGGGAGGCTGCGATATGTTCGTGTTTGTCTCCTCGTGATAGCGCGGAACTGATGCCGACTTTATAGTGCTACCTCACTGAAACATACTGCCGAAGACACTCAGCAGGACCTGGTCACATTATACTGACAACGAGCGAACCAGTCGTCCCAATCCTAATTTGCTGAACGTTAAGCAGGAGTAGAAACTACCATTTTTTCGGTGCTGTGTAACTTCCAATATGTCCAAAGACTTCATAATTGGACATTGTTCTTTGTTTTTTATATTTTCATCTATGAGGTGCGATGCAGCATGCTTGCGGACGAGTGAAATTTTCAAGCGTTTTATTGTGGTGTCCGAGAAACTAAATGTTGTTTTATATAGAGTTTACGTATGGTGTAGAGGGTGCAAAAGAGAATAAGCTGCCAGGTGAATTTTACGAGCAAAACGAATTGTATTATTTTTCATTATTGTAAAAATGGCAAGAATCTAAAGAATAAAATGTGCGTGAATTACCTTGATGTTTGGAACTTCTTCCATGGAAGTTTTAGTACCCATATCAAACATATTATTATTATATATATGCGTAAAACGTACATTTTTCAGCTTTAAAAAAAAAAATGTTTTAATGTGTTAGGTGTCCGTATTAAATTCACAAATCAAAATTCTCCCGGGAAAATTTGAATTTTGTTTGTTGTTTGAAGACACCCAGACTTTCGTTCCAGGTGTTGATTCCAATTCTCGAAAATTGGTTGGCATTTTAGACTGTATATGTTAATGAATTGCTAAAGGCTTTTGTCTTAACTTAGTGAAGCATGTGCGTTTTCATTTACTAGTTGTCATTCTCATCCTCGATATCCAGGGGTTACGCTCTCTGCACCCCTGGAATATGCCATAGTAAAATTGAAAGCACGCGGCTAGCTATATGATAGGTTGTCGGTTAAAAAAACTCTGACCAATAACTAGGCTAATATTTGTCCTTTGAAGATAACAGATAAGCGACGCCCGACTTCAAAGCCAGTACATTTTACCGTTTCGGGACCGCGAGATTCTTTTGATGTACATCAAAGGACACAACCAGTCTTCAAAGTCTTCATATTCAAAGAGTGCAGAGTGAAAGTGAGCGTTATCCCTGGATATGAGGATGTGTTATTCTCGAATCAATCCTCAGTTTCACAGAAAAGGTTGAATCAATGCAAGAAAATCGTATTTTACGGATCTCGCACGGAAATATTTATTTCATTTTGTGATACAAGGTTATGTTTTTGATTATGCTCATTAAGATCTAGAATGTCTTGTGGTTTTGTTGTCACTTTCAGAGTTCTCGATGCCAGGACATAACATTACTTGGATTCGACTTATCGTGGCGTGGTCATCGATGAAGCAGAAGACGCTTACCCTTCCGGAACACCTGGTTATATTCCCCTTGTACTTTTCAAGGAGTTCCATGTAAATCTTTCCTTTAAGATTTTGTGGATCCAGTGTTAATTGAACTATGTTGATATAGTAACAGGCCATGATGGTTTGTTCCGGTCAGTTGTAAAATGATAACCGGTTTGACAGTAATGCGCTTTTTATACCCAGCGAGAACCATACTCGTTACCAAGCAAGGACAAACTAAAATGTCGGCACTTCCTAAGAAACATTAGTCGGAAGAAATGGGGAAGATCTCAAAATAGAACATACATATTGATCACTCCGTGGTGAAGTTATAACAGTTACCATGTGCATATAGAACATATAGTTTAATTTCACATTTTTTACTATTCGTAGTTAGGGCTCATTTATCATGGCAACCGATATAAGTACACAGCATACAATACATACAATGTAGTAGGACATGTGAAGGACAAAATCAACACTGGACAAATACGGAGAAGGGTGAATATCTGACTTGGTAAAAGTGTCCTGCGTACAGTATTTTCATGCTTGTTGTCCATCATGTAGGTGAACCATTGGGTTTGGTGACACGAAAATAAATAATGATTACCCAAATTCTATGGATAATGCTAAAAATCAACAAATCCTGTTATTTGATGAAAATTTTATTTTGAAATATTTGCACTTTAATGACTTAAGTCTAAATTTTAAGGTATCCATGATGGTATTTATAGAAAGAAATTTGAAACTGGTTTGCCAAGCACTTTAGTTAATCATAATAAAATTTACAGTAGATATCTGAAATTTGATGGGATGTTTTTTCATGCAATAAATAATGAGTGGCAGTAGAATGTCTAACTTTTCTACGTAATTCAACAAAATCATTCACCCATCAAATGTCCAGATTATCTACTGCAGCAGAAGAATGTCCACAAACCAGCTCCTGCACTGGCACAAGTCTGTGTTTGTCCTCTCTTAGAACTAAAAGTTTTGTATTGAATTTACTATAAATATGTGTCACAGGATTACAACCCGGTGTCCACGCTAGCAGAGAACTGACCGTTTCCTTATGATCAGTCCTTGCACCAAGATGTTCCCTCTCCTTAACGTTTAACAACCAGTATTGGCTGCTGTCCAAACTCTAGAAGGGTGACCGCTGACCAGACTTTGACTGACCAGAGATCGGGTGGTGTCTGATGAAGGGACTACGTGGCTGTAGTCTGGTTATTAATAAGATCGAGTTGTGATAAACTGGCTTGTACACCCTTTAGATTCTCCTTCCACTGTATCAGGTGCTGTTTCAACATCTGCCACTGCTGGCGACCAAAAGTCCGGTGAGTTGTTGAGCTGATCAGAACTTTCTTTTGCATCTGGTCTATTTTAGCTCTGACTGCCTTTGTTCTCAGTACTGTAAAACAAAGAACCACATGGTCAGGTATATGAACATACAGGGTAATCTGACAACATAAGACAGTTGGAGCACCTAAACCAGGTATATACAAATCCACTCGCCGCGACGCTACCCGATTTTCAGCTTTGGTTAGATGTGAAATCTAGAGGCACACTAGCCTGGAACTAGTGATTTGTGCATGATATAATGGACATATGCTTTTGTTCCATTTTATCATCAATTAACCAATTAACATTTAACAATTGTTAATTCCTGGTAATTTTCAATACCATATCCATTTTAACACATCACTCATGCTGCATAAGTAATACAAGACACTCTGTTGCTTTTCTCATGTCTGTTAAATGACATTTTTCACACTAAATTTAAATAACATTGAAAGTCAAAACTGACCACAAAAATAACCCTCTTTGTTGCAAATAAATCTCTATTATCTGAAATAAGTATGTGAGGTACAAAAAGTCAGCAATAATCATGCTGTCCGCCGGCGCCATGTATGTTTTGATGGTTTCTAATACTTGAACCAATATCTGGACCGGTTATCAGGAACTGTCAAAAATATTTTTTAATTTTTATTTTTGAGATTCAATAGTTTTAAGTAGTCAGGAAGGCTTAATAGTATCATAAATTTAATATGTATTATTAAAATTAAAGGAAAACATATCCTTTTGTGAATGCGATATCTTTACATCATGTGATCATGTTGTCAGCTTCATCCATTTTGCAGTTGTTGTGCTAGCAGATTTTTTTCCAGGCTAGTGGATTATTAGTGTCTACTAGTCCAAGGCTAGTATAAAGAAAAAAAAGTTTACACCTGGTCTCTGTAAATATGCTTATTACATACATCAACACCAAAATAGGAGATAGCCAACATTTGGCTTTATTGATTTCAGTTCGTTTCGTACACAGGCCCAAATTTTATATTCCTTGGAAATCTCTGCGGACAGATAAATCGTAATAACACTGTCAGTTTCACCCTCTAAACAATTTTCACCTAGCCCCCCCAACAATATTAACCATGTAGGGACTAATCTACAATCCATATTTTTTCTAACATTAAAAATGTCTGAGAGTCAAAATAGGATCCACTGGTAGACAGTGCCGGACACCTTGGATTCTCTCACATTTATATAGCACCAGTCTAACAGTGTTAGTTTGTCACGTCCTACAGAACACGAAGCTCAGCACGACATCACCTGATGCTTTTGTTTCTTCTGCGAGCATATCAATATCTCTGTATTTCACATATGTTCATAAAATGATTCATTGTTAGAACTTAATGGTAGACCAATATACAATCACTGTGAAAAACACTGCAGGTCTATGCATGGGAATCACTTACTTCACATACATGAAATTGTACGAGATGCACAGTCCAGTCCATCTGAAGTTTTACCAAAGAAATATCCAGCCTTACAGAATGTGTGGTAATCAACAGATGAACAGATATGATGCTATCATAAAACTTCCCACTCATTTCCTATTTCTCCAGAAGGGGATCCCCCCGGACTATAATACACTGCTTCTATCTTTTATTCAAGTACATGTAAGAAAACAAATTTTTAGTTTTCAGCACAAAATTATGACAGAAGGGTACATGTAGTAGTATAATTGGATCATTAATAACGATAATATGTTTTTACAAGGATAACAAAGAGAACAAATTCTCCATTGTCAACAACAAATAGGGAAAGAAAGGTGGATCTACTGCCATAATATACATGTTCCTAGTGTCAGACAAAGATTTCCCTTCTCCTTATATGTACAGCTTCCAGATGACTTACTTATTTCATGGTTATCAGTAAGGAACAGCGATAGATCTTAATACTTCTATGCAAAAGGGAGAAAGACCTCAATTGTATGTAAAGGGCAAGCATGCGAATGTTGAAGATCATGCGTAGGAGGAAAGGAAAGGAAATTCATGATTTGGTGAACTACAAATTCTGCAAAAGGTTTCTTATATCTATTTATCATTTGGTTAAACAGATGACTTCACCTCATCAAAGTAACCTCCTTTTTCTCCCTACAATTAATTACTCAACTGTTCTCCAAAGTATTTCTACTCGGTATTCATTATAATATGAATGTAACTGCTCTAATCTAAATAGGATATTGCCTAATTATATATGATTTATCAGATGAATGTCAAAATCCTTTGTATTCTCTCCTCCCTCCGTTACAAATAAGTGTCATTGTTGAAAAAACAATCATCTAGTTACCGTCAATGACAAAGGGTTCTATCTCCTCCTGGCTCATCATCATTTCCTCCTGAAGAACACTGTACTCAATCTCCATCCTGTTCTCTGCCATTTGCATGAAGGTCAGTAGACGCATCTTCCTCATGTTCTGTTCATGAGAGAGACCTACAAAAGAAACATGAAAACTTGATACTATTGAGTTGTAAATTGATTCTTAAACATGAATTATTTAATGAAGAATGTCTGAGAGTCAAAATAGGATCCACTGGTAGACAGTGCCGGACACCTTGGATTCTCTCACATTTATCTAGCACCAGTCTAACAGTGTTAGTTTGTCATGTCCTACAGAACACACAGCTTTGTACAACATCACCTGATGCTATTGGTTTTTTTAAGTTCATACCAAAATTACACTTTATTGACTGCCCCAAAACTTCATCTCAATGTAAATTTCACAATTTAACAGTTTTGTCTATACTAAAATATCTGAAGTCAGATTCCCTATAGGTTCAGAGATGTATAATATTAAGCATGTTTTAGAAAAAGACATGTTGGGGTGACAGTAGCTTTATCATAAACTATAAGCAGGTTCAATTGCTAAACACTAACTGAGGTTAAAAAAGTTACTTCCTTTTCATTTTCTGTTGAAAAGCCAAAAGGTATTTAACAACTTTTTATTGTCTTTAAAATGTCCCCATAATTAAATGTCAAACAGAATGTCTGAGAGTCAAAATAGGATCCACTGGTAGACAGTGCCGGACACCTTGGATTCTCTCACATTTATCTAGCACCAGTCTAACAGTGTTAGTTTGTCACGTCCTACAGAACACAAAACTCTGCATGACATCACCTGATGCTTTTGTTTCTGAGTATTCTGTATATATGTAAACTGAATCATTTTTTTAACTTAATGATAGACCCGTAGACAATCCCCATGAAAAACACTGTTAAGTCTATGGGAATCACTTACTTCATTGAACAGGTTGTCTATGAACTTAATTCTTATGATATGTACAATTTAATGACCATTATAGTAAGAAGGGAAAAAAGTTCTGATTTGTTTCCCCTGTATTATAACACATATTTTCTATTTATTTTTTTATTTTTTATTATTTTAAGTGAAACTTTTTGTCAAAGTCTGTATCAGACTCGGTTCAAACTTTCAAATCTTTATATGGATGAGACAATTAGTATAATATTTGATCTCTCGACTCAGTCATGTGACCTTGACCTTATATATATATAATTAGGAATGTAGATCAAAGAGTCGTACAAAGACACACCATATATATAGTCATGATACATCCATTAAAAAAATGGATATTATTAGTCCCTCCCATAATCTTGTCTATTAAGTAACTTCTGAATATAAGAAATATGTTTAAAATTAATGGTCTGAACAAGATTATTGGAATGCGGACAGACAAATTGTTATATCACCACCGACAGTGTCAGTTACACCCTCTAAACAATTTTCACCTCCCCAACAAGATTAACCATTTAGGCTCTAATTTACAATCCTTATTTCAATTTTTTTAACATTAAAAATGTCCGAGAGTCAAAATAGGATCCACTGGTAGACAGTGCCGGACACCTTGGATTCTCTCACATTTATCTAGCACCAGTCTAACAGTGTTAGTTTGTCACGTCCTACAGAACACACAACTCTGTACAACATCACCTGATGCTATTGGTTTTTTTAAGTTCATACCAAAATTACACTTTATTAACTGCCCCAAAACTTCATCTCAATGTAAATTTCACAATTTAACAGTTTTGTCTATACTAAAATATCTGAAGTCAGATTCCCTATAGTTTCAGAGATGTATAATATTAAGCATGTTTTAGAAAAAGACATGTTGGGTTGACAGTAGCTTTATCATAAACTATAAACAGGTTCATTTGCTAAACACTAACTGAGGTTTGTTCTATACTTCCAAGAAGTCATTATCTATGATTAATACTATAACATCAGTCTCAATTTAGAGGAGAACTAACATGGTTTCCACAAAATGTTATAGCTTGGGTACTTGGGTAAAAAAAGTTACTTCCTTTTCATTTTCTGTTGAAAGGCCAAAAGGTATTTAATAACTTCTTATTTTCTTTAAAATGTTCCCATAATTAAATGGCAAAAAATGTCTGAGAGTCAAAATAGGATCCACTGGTAGACAGTGCCGGACACCTTGGATTCTCTCACATTTATCTAGCACCAGTGTAACAGTGTTAGTTTGTCACGTCCTACAGAACACAAAACTCTGCATGACATCACCTGATGCTTTTGTTTCTGAGTATTCTGTATATATGTAAACTGAATCATTTTTTTAACTTAATGATAGACCCGTAGACAATCCCCATGAAAAACACTGTTAAGTCTATGGGAATCATTTACTTCATTGAACAGGTTGTCTATGAACTTAATTCTTATGATATGTACAATTTAATAACCATTATAGTAAGAAGGTAAAAAAGTTCTGAATTTTTGTTGTTGTATTTTTACACTAATTTTAAATTTTTATTTTTAAATTTTAATCATTATAAGTGAAACTCTTTGTCAAAGTCTGTATCAGACTCGGTTCAACCTTTCAAATCTTTATATGGATGAGACAATTAGTATAATGTTTTGAACTCTCGACTCCTTCATGTAACCTTGACCTTAGGAATGTCGATCAAAGAGACGTACAAGACACACCATATAGTCATGATACATCCATTAAAAAGCTGGATATCATTAGTCCATCCCATAATCTTGTCTGTTAAGTAAGACAAATTGTAATATCACCACCCACAGTGTCAGTTTCACCCTCTAAACAATTTTCACCTCCCCCACAATATTAACCATGTAGGGACTAATCTACAATCCATATTTCACATTTTCTTAACATCAAAAATGTCTGAGAGTCAAAATAGGATCCACTGGTAGACAGTACCGGACACCTTGGATTCTCTCACATTTATCTAGCACCAGTCTAACAGTGTTAGTTTGTCACGTCTTACAGAACACGAAGCTCAGCACAACATCACCTGATGCTATTGTTTCTTCTGTGGGTATATTAATATCTCTGTATTTCACATATGTACATAAAATGATATATTGTTAGAACTTAATGGTAGACCACTAAACAATCATAAACAATCACTATGAAGAACATTGAAGGTCTATGGGAATCACTTACTTCATATAGGTTATTTCCTATATAGCTATGATTTGTACAATTCAATGACCATAAAAGTATTGTGGGGAAAAAAGTTCTGAAAATTATTTTCCATTATTATTATACTTATTTTCTAAACTTTGTTAATATCAATCACTATAAGGAAGTATATATACTTAATCAAAGTAAAAAAATATATTGTGGAAAGTAAATTCTAAATTTGAAGACTGCTGAACTGTATCACTTCAGCCTTTCAAAACTTTATGGCCAAGACAATAAGTATAATATTTTGATCCCTGTTTCCTGCCTATGACCTTGACCTTAGGAATGTAGATCCAAGAGATGTACATGTACAGGACACACAATCTAGTCATGATACATCCATTTAAAAAGCTGGATATCATTAGTCCATCCCGTAATCTTGTCTTGAAAGTAACTTCTGAATGTAAGCATTTGTTTAGAATTGATGGTCTGGACAGACAAGTTGTAATATCAACCCCCACCCTCCAAAAACAATTCTACCGTCCAAAACATGTTCACCCCCATAAGGAGTTTTACCAGGTAGGGACTAATGAACAATATATATTTGAACTTTTTTAGCATTCAAAATGTTTGAAAGTCAAAAAGTGTCCATTAGTAGACAGTGTTAGTTTGTCGCGTCCTACAGCACACACAACTCTATAGTACAATACATAGTGCCATCTTCATGTCCTATAGACCATACAACTCACACACATACACACACCATACACATCATAAGATGCTATTTTCAATCAAAATTATGTGTATGCAGCAATATATCAAGGTTCAACTGTTTAGTATACATAATTCTTAACCTCGTGAATTTAAAAGATCAAAACCAATGCACATCACAGAACATTGTATGGATCTCAAAAATGTAATTAATTTTATATTATCAGAATCCATGCAAGTATTTGATAATATTTAGGGTCTGAAATAAAAAGATAACAGCAGGTCTTGGTATGATGATGTATCTAACTTACATAGAGATTTCACAAAGTCTGTGTTATTCTTGTAGAACTGTTGGTACTGTGCAATCTTCCCAGAAACAAATATAGTCAAAAGCTGAAAAAACATAAAAGCAACATATATATAAATTTTGACTAAAAAAATAAATAAAATAAAAACGTGTACATACAATAAAGCAGACACTTTATGTGGAATGATTTTTGCAATTTCAAAGATCGATATTTCAATTACCAACATTCAAAATTTGAAAAGGGTTTGTCAGGTAACTCTTGAGAAAAAGCAATAACACATTTTGTCAAAATTCAAGGTGGCAGCCAGTTTGTTTTTCCAATCAGTCTCAAATTGAAACATGTGCAACCATGGACCAAATGGAACCTTCAGATCTATGAATTTGAGATAGGTCTGACAAGTACGTCTTGGAAACAAAATCAATAAAAATAGTTAAGGATGGAAAAGTGACAACAGACCACAGAAAAATTGTGATTTAAACAGCCTACCTTCTGATAATAGTAGGATAATAATGATTTATCAAAACAGTTTTGTTTTTCGAGGACAGACAAATAATGTATAATTATGTACAATAATGCTTTCTAAACCCTACCCTTCTTTTGAAATCAACATATTGGCTCTCGTGGGGAGCCTATTTCTGTGTTTGTGTTGTTTCATGTTTCAAGTACCAGTCCACAGGCATATTCTACTAGCCTGAATTATGTTTTTGAAAATTTTCTCCGACACAAAATCTCCTAGTGTCAGGCACGGAGATAACGGAATTGAAAACACCCGATATAATTTCATAGAATGCTCAGGTGGTTGTGTGTTTTACTAGTCCTAAGTGCAAAAATTTTGAACAATGTACACAACCCTAAACTAATGCTTAGTTGGCTGTGTTTTTTTCTTTAAACATCATGAAAAAGAGACAAACTTACATCATGTATGAGCTCCCCCTCAAGGAACTTTACTGGTTTCAGTGTCAAGAGATGGTCCATAAGAAATGTGTTGGGATCTCCTAAATGTGTCACAATACACCTTCAAAATAAACACATTTAACCATATATCGGTTATGTCGTTACATAGGTATATGGTTGTGTGCAGCACCTTAATACATAGCAGAAAACAATTTCTTATATTTTGATAAATATTTTTACGTTCATTAAAATGATTTTATCTTTTTTTCACCATTGGAGTAACAAAGATCTGGTAAAATCTGAACTTTACTGTGACATTATATATCTGTTTCTCCAACTAGTAAGAATTATAGATGCTCTCAACATAGACATCAGGGATAAATAGCACCATTAACAGAAACAGCTTAATGCTGGATAAAAAAGGAACAAAACTTTTATTTTAAACAAGCATACTTTAAGTTTCACAAAGCAATACATATTTCCTACCAGTACCACACCATTAAGAAACACCTATGAAGTTTCATAAAAAAACTCTGCAGTTACTGTATGGCAAGAAGCAGAATGTGTTTAAAACACTGTTGTGACTGCGACTTTGACAATAAACTTGAGCATGAAAATAAATTCAGCTGTTTTAGTTCTTGTCCCTGGCCATGACCTGCACTTTAACGATCATATGTGACCTTAACCTAGACCTTAATGGTACACATACAGATCTCTGAAGGTGGTTAGTTTCACAGTCTAGTTGGGATACATCCACCTAAAACTTTCTTAAATTAGCATTCAAAATGTCTGAGAGTCAAAATAGGATCCACTGGTAGACAGTGCCGGACACCTTGGATTCTCTCACATTTATCTAGCACCAGTCTAACAGTGTTAGTTTGTCACGTCCTACAGAACACGAAGCTCTGCACGACATCACCTGATGCTGCATACAAGTAAGAGAGTCACCATTACAAGAATATCAACATCAACTTGTCTACTTTTCTATCTACCAATATACTGTGTAATGGTTCGAGATTGATTTTTCAGCAATAATCATGCTGCCCGCTGGCGCCATGTATGTTTTGATGGTTTCTAATACTGGAACCAATATCTGGACCGGTTATCAGGAGCTGTCAAAAATATTTTTTTATTTTTATTTTTGGGCAGAGATTCAATAGTTTTTAGTAGTCAGGAAGGCTTAATAATATTATAAATTTAACACGTATTATTAAAATTAAAGGAAAACATCCTTTTGTGAATGGGATATCTTTACATCATGTGATCATGTTGTCAGCTTCATCTATTTTGCAGTTGTTTTGCTAGCAGATTTTTTTCCGGGCTAGTGGATCATTAGTGTCTATAGCTACTAGCCTAAGGCTAGTATATAGAAACAAATGTTTACACATGGTCTCTGTAAATATGGTTATAACATACATCAACACCAAAATAGGAGATAGCCAACATTTGGCTTTATTGATTTAAGTTTGTTTCGCACACAGGCCCAAATTTTATATTCCTTGAAAATCTATGCGGACAGATAAATCGTTATATCACTGTCAGTTTCACCCTCTAAACAATTTTCACCTAGCCCCCCAACAATATTAACCATGTAGGGACTAATCTACAATCCATATTTTTTTTAACATTAAAAATGTCTGAGAGTCAAAATAGGATCCACTGGTAGACAGTGCCGGACACCTTGGATTCTCTCACATTTATCTAGCACCAGTCTAACAGTGTTAGTTTGTCACGTCCTACAGAACACAAAGCTCTGCACGACATCACCTGATGCTGCATACAAGTAGGAGAGTCACCATTACAAGAATATCAACATCAACTTGTCTACTTTTCTATCTACCAATATACTGTGTAATGGTTCGAGATTGATTTTTCATGTCATTTTTATCTTGATGTAGCAAAATGCATATTCATGCATAGCTGAATATATATGACTTTCAGGGTTCTCCCCAGAATTTTTTTAAGCTGATATGTTTCATTTGCAGCGAACATTCAAGACGGACACGCTAATATAATACCTTATAATACCTTATCAAATCTAAGGGGGGGTGTAATATTATGTTTAAAAAGTTACTTTTATTTACCAATTTTCTTTTGGTGAACATTAAAACCAAGGAAATAAATAAATGTTTCTTATGTCTGAATTTTCAGCAATATTATCGTTTTAAATATTCTAAAAAAAATACAATTTATAGAAAGGTGTATGAGTTTTGTACATTGAATAATAGATATGACATTTGTGACATTTGTCTCTTATCTTTACATTTGTATCCCTTGCTTAATCCCCATTAAAAATAATTTAAAGAAGAAATATTTAAAAGCTGTTTGTGCTATAGGGGGAAACACTTACATGA